CCCCAAAACCCCAAAACCCCAAAACCCCAAAACCCCTTGCGGAAAATTTAGTTTTATGTATAGAAATAAATTTTAAATAAATACGAGATAAAGAGGAAATTTCATACACATCTAGCATTATTAATTGATTGATTTTAAAGTCATCTAAGAAAATAATTTAAATAGAAGAGTGCAATGAGTGTTAGATAATTAAGAATGAATTTCGCTTGTTAATTCTGCAAAAATAGCAAAGTATACTGCCGGTGTGTGGACTGTGAGATTTTTCTGTGCTCACAGTGCGACTACATCGAGCATCATCATTTATCAAATCAATTTGACAAAACTGACAATCCTCTGTAACACAAAAGGATCAGAATTTGCGAGGAATGTGAGGAGTAAGAATGCGCAACATAATGCCTAAGCTGTGAGCAGTTTTTATGTCACTCTTGCAGCAGCAGACTACACTAGAAAGGAGCTCGCTAGAAACATAAGCGCCAGCCCATTCACGGCTCACCAGATTTCATTAGACCTTTGAAGTTAAAAAGCGCAAGTTCAAGCCAAGAGCCACCTATAAATAATTCATCATCATAGGAAGGTAGAGAGAGTCAATCTCCAAGGAAAAATTCAGCTGACAATGCTGAATACTCAAATGAAAATAATCAAAATTAAAACTAAGGAGAATTCCTTGGGAAGAAGGGAAAACATAACGCCTCATACACTCAATCATAATAGAGGTAAACTTATTATGCTAAGAATTCAAACTATGATAACAAGCCCAGAGTCAATCAGTACTAGCAATCTGGAAACTATCCACAAAATTAAAGTAGGAACACGTAAAATCCAAGGGGAAGTAAAGGAAGCAGTAGTTACTCTTCAGGAGGTAGTTCAGCTGGATCACACCATAATTCCTATAACAACTATGGAAGAGGATATTCTGAAAATTACTATGGGCAGTACGGGACTGCCAACAGAAATGTAAAACCTTACAAGAAATCTTAGGTGGTTGTAGGGGGGCATAGTGGGTCAAATAGAGATCAAAATAATTGTTAATAAATCTCAGACGTTATCCCACCTCAATTTTTCGGTAAGTTATCCCCATTAAATTAAACTCAATAGAAGGAGATCAGATAGTCATCCCAGTATGGCAGCCATTTGTGAAGTGTGAGAAGAACTAGAAGGAAATGTTCGTGATATAGAAGGAATTGTTCTAGTTCGCAGCAAAAGGAGAGCTCTTAATAGAGAATAATTTATTCATTGGAATATTAGCTGATAAACTTCAAATTTAAGGTAAGTTAAAAATTCCAATTCACATCATATTATCCTCAATTAAAGACTACTTGTCGCATCAAAATAAACAAAACAGCTAGGCATTATTATGAATAGCTGTGCTAATTTAAATTTGAATTTAAACCTATTAAATAGAGAGTGAATGCTAACGACTAATTGATTAAGCAGAAGATCAAGGAATCATTCACCAGACAAAGAGAAATTTCGTCAAGATTAAAACATTAAGCTTCCTAAGCCTTTAGCTTGAAATCATAACTCATGAATGCATAAGCTGGGTCGTAGCAAGCTTGAAAAGAGATGAGATGACACCTACTGAGAAAGCTTTGCAGAATAGAATAAAGGAAGCTTTTGCCTTTAAAATTCCGACCTCCTTGTGGGAAATTATTACAGAATCCCTTGAAACCCCTGAAGTCAAGTAGCATAAAACTAACACAAAGATGCTCTATATAGAGGTTAGTCAATCTAAAGGTAAAGCTGGGTACTACGGAAACTCATACAATGAATACTATAATGTTTAGAAAGATGGGTATTAAGAACATACTGATTATCAGGATTTTTTCGTATATCCAGATAAGAAAAATGATTCCATACCATTGTTTAAAGTGAAAGAAATAGAGGAAGATCCTTCAATTGGTTAAATGACCAAAGCTGTTTACTTAATTGATGAGGAGGAATGGCTAGGTGTTGATCAAAACATCGAAGATGTTGATTACTAATTGTATGACTAGTTAAAATCTTTCCTTCAAGACTACTTTTGCTCAAATTAGGATTAAACTTATGATGAGGAAGAACAAAAATGGTGTTCTTCAATTGAAAATGCATTAACCAGAACCACCACTTCCACGTAAAATCAGAATACTACAAAGTACTATCATGGTTAAAGCAGTGAGTTAGATTTCGATGAAGTAAGAGCAATTCCAGGAGGAAGATACGGATGTGCATAATTTGTAAAGATATGTGGACCTATGAATTTGAGACAATGCTCGCTTGGACGACTAGCCTAACTAGTATAGTATGCAGTCAAAGAAGATGTCTTAAGATATCATAAAACTCTCCTTGTGTGGACTACAACTGTAGATAAACACAAGAGATTAGCTGAAGAGATGCATAAGCAATCTCACTAAAATGCTGCTATTGCAGCCAAATTAAATGTAGTTAAAAATGCATTAACTGAAATCCTGGCTGAGTCCAAGACTGGCATGTCTCTAGCATAACTACCTCTATATCTAAGAAGAAAACTTCCATTTACCCTGGATCTCAATGAACTTGGTTTCCCTAAACTCAAAGATCTGATTCTTTCCATGTCAGACCAGATTAAACTTGAACTCAAAGGTCACAATCACCCTTTTGCATACCTAATAAAGAGTGGAAGATACGTTCACTCAACAAGTAATTCTGATGACTTCAAGAGTATCCCTCAAAGTAAAACTTTCATCAAAACTTAACAATCTCATAACTCTGAAGATGTAAATATTGGTAGACATCTAAAAAATGCAATAGCCATTAATGAAGGAAACATTAAGAATGTACTGACAGCATTTTATAATTTGATGAGAGAATATCCTATTGGTATAAAAAGTTATGAATTGCCGACCATTCTATCTAATAAAATCGGCTAAAGTTTTAGTTTCAAAGATTATGGATGCCATTCACTGCTTGAATTTCTAAAGAAATATGTGATACCCACAATGGACATAGAAATTATATCGAGTAGTCCCTAAGAGAATGATGCATATCTTATTAGATCAAAATAATTCTTCATGAATTATAACTATGAACTCGCTTAAAATCAAAATATGAGTGTTTAGAAAAATGCTACTCAAATGAACAGTCCTAAGTTCAATTAAATTATTAACACTGGATAGTAGAACATTTTCAACCAAAATTCACAGAAGGATGAAAAGTAAATGAACAGGCAGAATTCAGCCTCAAGCTCTTTAAATGTCTCATCTCAATGCTATGTCCCTAATCATCAAAGTCTTTATGGAGGTTCAACATCTGCAAACTCGACTTAAATTAATGTGAGCCATATAAGATTCAATACTGCAGATACTGCTGAGATTTAGACTCATAACTTTGCAAAAAATGAAATTCACCCCACAAACGCTATAAATGCAAATCCATTCTAAAAACCTCCACTACCTCCACCTCAAATTAATCAGCAATTTTCACAAATCACCTAGTCATAATTCAAAAACCAATTCTATACCTAGCAAATCAACAACTAATAGAGACAAAATAATTACAAAACTTATCCTCCTTTGTAGTTATAACAATAATTTTAGTAGTAGCAACAAGCACAAAATTTTATTAGCCACTAGTAATCACCTTCAAATACTACAACATTTTCACTTTAAAGTTATAATCCTCCATAAAATAATTTTCCAAATCAAGTGTTACCAGGCTTTTTCCTATCTCCGAGTCATTTATAGCTCAACAAAAATATGGATTTGATGTCTCAAAATGCAATGATTAACAATAATTCACCTCTACACAGCAGAGCTATATCATTCAACAATTCTGCTTATGGTGCTTCAGGAAATAATATCTAAAGTACAACATCAAAGAGTGTATCTTAAGATTATACAAATTCAATGCAATCACTAGCTTACCCTCATTCCATGAGTCTAAAATAATTAAATATGCAAAATATTGGTTAAAGTTAGAGTGGATTTGCTACACCATAGACCTAATTGAACATGATAAGTAATTTAAACTTTCCAAACAAAGCATTTGGTCAAAGATAAAATCAAGATTCTATATTTGGTTCTCCTATCCCAAACTCTTTTCAATTTGACTCACTCAATGGAGGAAAGTATGAATCAAGCCCACCTTATAATCAAGATGAAGATGATAGCAATTTCAATCAACATAATATCAAATTCATTGAAAAATTAGTGTGCGATGATGACATGGATTTCAAATCTGGTGATGAGTAATCTAGCATGAGCATTTAATCTCCACAGCTTTCTGCAGTAGCAACTAATGGACTTAGAGTGCCAATTTCTAACTTCTAAAATTCTGGCCCTGGTCTTACTCTTAATCAAACAAGATCACTAAATTAAAGTCAGTAAAAGAAAAACTGGGGATCAGTAGATATAAAGAATCAAGGAGGTGGTTCTGTCAACAGCTCTTCCCATAAATAATTAGGAGGATCCTAAATGCAATCAAGTAACTCATGCAAGAACATTGTAGGAAACCCGATCATAGAAGGGGGTAGCACATCATCAGATGAAAATAAAAGACCATCAACTGTTTTAGAACAAAAGACTGAGGAAGATGCTGAGGATAACACAGCCTCATAACAAAATCTGAACTAGAGATGGAGTCATCTGCAAAATAGCAATCAATTGAGCGAAGATGAAAGCATCTGGTCGAACCCTCAAAATTAATAGTAGGATTCATTATGGACCAAGGATGTTAATCTCTTCAAGGAATGAAATAGAGACAGTCAAGATTTCTGTTGTCCATGAACATAAGAGGATAGCTGGTGGATAAATTTACCTTTCTTTCTAACAATCTTTGATTCGAAAGATATAAATGAAATCCCCAATTTTAAGTTTTTTCTCAACTTATTTTACAATTTTGCTTCATATTAAAATCTAAAGCTTTTCTTTTTTATATCAATCAAATTCCTATATTTGGGGTTTTGGGGTTTTGGGGTTTTGGGGTTTTGGGGTTTTGGGG